AAAAACTGCATCAAACTAAATTAAATTTAATACATAATGCATTAGTGCAATTGATACACTGCAATCATTTCTAACTCCCTTTAAGCAACTTAAGTGCCTAGTTATATAATAAAAAAAAAATAATAATAATAAAAAATAAAAAATAAACTAAATAATATATATGAACTAAATATAATATGAAATATATATGCTCCAAAATGCATAAATATTATATATATTATATGTATGCTATTTCATACAGTAATTATTCAACCAATCAGATCACAGTTTTCTTATTAATTTGGTTATTGGATTCGATTTTGTGATCCTGTAATTAGAAATGGATGATCTATACCTTATTAGAACTGTCTCAATAAGCTTATTCGAATGGTAGTGATTTCATCAGATTCTGTTTGGTGGTTCAAGAGTTATGATCATTTTTGTAGGTTAACAATATGTAATTACATAGTCATAAACTTATTTTTGTGCTTCATTTAATGTAATCAGGTCAATATAAATTTCTTCTTCATTATGAAAAGTTCCTTCAATTTAACCACTTTTAGTACATTCTAAAAATGTTTCTATATTACCAAAATCTGAAAATATTTCAAATAATTCTGGCCATATATAGTTAATATTAATTGGTTGCTCTCCAAAATCAAATAAACTGCTTGTTAAAATCCTTAGATTTTTCTTAGAAATTCACATCCAAGGTTCTTGAAATTCAATATTATCTTCATCAAGTTCTTCATACTCATCATTGTCATTATCATTTTGGTCTTCAGTATTTATATATTAACCAAAAAGATCATTACCATCTGCCTCAATTTCTATAATATTATATTAATATATTTCTGTCTATTGTACTTTATTACTACCTTGTAAGAAGTTTGTCATATTCGATAGGGAATATGAAAAAGTACTTTTAACCTGCAATAGTCATTCCAATTTGGTTCAAAGTAAACCAGTGATGGCTATAGCCAAATTCGGACAATGCAACTTTTTTACATAGACTTCATTTATGTGTGTGAGAACCAACAACAAAATTTTTATTTAAAGTGAATAGAGAATAATTTTCAACATTAGGTAGATAATTTCAATAAATTTGAAATGAGAAAGTCCTGTTTTAATGGCTATATTTCTATTATTATTACTTTGTATATCATTACTATGAGTTAATTTATGCAATGCACCACCTTTATTAAGATTAAGAGTAAAAAATATACAAGACAATTTAACTAATGGAAGCATTAAAAGAAGATGTAATGTTTTTTGAGCTGAGAAATCTTGTTCTAATATAGTATTTAATAAAAGCTATTGAATTGATTTAAGAGCAGGTTTATCAAACTTAGCATTATAAATATCAGAACCAAACATCTCATTAAATGCAATAGATCTTGGTTCTAAGTTGCTAATATACTTGGTAATATAAGAAAGTGTTGTGTAAATAGAAATAATAGGTTTTTTATCTACATTAGCTCTCTAACCTTGAAGCTGAATTCAATAGTGAAGGTTAAGCAGTAGATCATTGTGATGCAATAGTAACTCAGAACTATTATATTTATTAAGTTGAATTATTGTTGAATCATGTAATTTCTTAGAATAGCCAAACTGATATTTTTCTAATTTAGTATTTTTGTTTATCACAAGACAATAAGACGGTGAACATTTAATGTACTTTTGAAGCCTATTAACTAATTGACAGTAATTCTCAAAATCATCTGTTAATTTTATCCGTCATTTTTGATATAGATGCTTTTGAGATATACAAGTAAAAGTATTTGGATTCATGGCTGTAACATTCAAATCCACATAACTAATCATTTTTTTCATTGATTTTTCATCTTGTTGCATAGCATTCCAACTAAAGGTTGAAGTCTCTGAAACTTTCCCAATTCCATGGATATGAAGGCTACTTTTATGTTGCTACTCATATTGGTACCAATATTCAGTAAGATTCAATTTTGGTATTAACACATGTTCTAAAAAAAATTCAATTCATCATATACAAAACAATGTCATTATATGAAGATTCTTTTTCAAATTCTGAAATTGTAATTGTGTATTTTTTGATGAATTAGAATTAGTAAGTATATTAATATTTGGCATAAGATTATACAAATCAGGCCTGTGCAAATCTGCTACACTAAAAGTAAAGAAAATAAGGCCATCACTACCAATCTGCTTAATCATATCCATAAGTTCATTTCTTATTTTTTTCCAGTAAGAGCATGTTCCTCAAAGAGTGCTTCTATATCGAATAATATGATTAACAAGTTGATTATTAATATTATACAATTTTCGAACATCTCTATAGTAATATAAGAATCTTCTAAATTTTGCCATATATAAAGTTTTTTAGTTTCTAAAGCTCTTCATCTCATTACTAAATTCAATGCAAAATAACAAAATCGTTAATGCTGTACAAATCTTTTATCATGATACTTTATCAAACATTCAAAGTATTCAGCAAAATACATGTGATGATATCATTGAATACTACATAAATCTGCTTTTCCAGTAGAAAATAATGCAAAAAATGCTCTTGTTATATAACCAGTATCCTTAAACTCATTGATAGAAATGTCATTAATAGTAGGCCAAGATATAATATTATCTGAATTCATAAGACTGTTAATTTCATTATAAGTAGCAACTTCTTCAGTTGCTTTATATATGGAATTTGAAACAAAAGTTATGTGATATAATTATTTGATATATCAATATTATTCATATTATAATTATTAGGTAAATTAATTGTATCTTTAATTGATGAGTTAACATCATCCACTGCGCATAATCTTTTGAATACAGAACCATTTTTGGGAAGAGTTTGTAACATATTATGATCAATTTTAATATTAACATAAAATGGATTATTTTCTTTAAGGTAATTTAACCAAGCTAAAATATTTGTGTACTTGACGTTAAAGTCATAAAATGTATTACAATCTTGTCCAGTTCATTGAACAACCAAAGTATCAATTGTGGTGAGATCTCTAAACAATTTTGTAACAAATCCTTAAAAATCTTGTAGAAAATTAATCACATGGCCTCTGTAGCCAGTTGTCTGCCTTGAAGATTGAAGACAGTTAGTATAGAAAGAACCTGCACAATTAACATTTCCTCAACTTGACTAAGTCGAGGCAATTCAGTTGGTACTTCTCCTAAAAATAAATTTTTATATTAAATATATATATATATTTATATTAACATCATTATTATTATTACATGTACCCAGATCCATATCATTATCTTGTAAAAATCTTTTTGGTATTAATTTTTCACTGCTATATCTAATTCAAGAGTCCGTTTTATGATTTAATATAACCGAAGGAAAAGATTCTTTATATGTGGAGCAATAATTATGTTTAAGATCTGTGACAGCATCTTGAAACTTTTTGAGAAAATTATGATCATCATCATTAAGCTGACAGGCAGGTGATATTTTGTTTTCTAAAAATAATTTATTCAAGTTATATGTCATCATTTTATTCAAAAAAATTTAATTTCAAGTCATACTTTTGTTTAAACTATCTTCTTGATTTGTCTGTTTATCTTAGTTTACATTCTCTTTCATTTTAATATTATTGTTATCAGTTAATAACTGACATTTATGATGAGCTTGTCTCTTTTCTGATTCACTTTTGTGGTAAGCTAAGTGTTGTTCTTCAGTCATTGAACTTTTTCGATTTCTTCTAGCTTCATTTCTATTAACTACTTGTTTGGATGTATAAGTTCTTTTTTACTTTGGCATTTAACTAAACTAAAAATATTTTTTTATATTTGCTTATGATACGATGATTTATTTATAATAATACAAAGTTCTTATTTTCTCTAACTAATAAGCTATTAATTTATTTATTTATTATTTATTTATTAAATATATTTGCTTACAGTACGATAATGTATTTAGAATAATATTTTTAATATTCTTTTTAATTAAACATCAGTTAATTAATGTCCCTTTAGAGGGGTTATTAAAAAAAAAAAAATCAGTTAATGTATTTTATTAAAAGTCAACTACCATATTTTAAACCAAGTTTTTGGTATCCAAATATTGAACCAAATTTAGGATCAACACTGACTATTTTGAACCTAAAATTTGAGTCAAGTGAAGTGAAAGCCAGACATTTTCTAAAATTTAGTAGAGTATGGCATATAATATGATGATTAAAAGTCAGTTACAAATATTTTAAACTGAGATTTTGGTATCCAAGCATTGAACCAATTTTAGGATTATTTTGAACCTAAAATTGGGTCAAGTAAAGCAGAAGCCAGACATTTTTCAAAATTCAGTAAAGTATGGCATATGATATAATGATTAAAAGTCAGTTACCAATATTTTAAACTGAGATTTTAGTATCTAATTATTGAACCAAATTTAGGTTATTTTGAACCAAAAATTTGGGATAAGTGAAGCGAGAACCAGATATTCTTAAAATTCAATAGAGTATGGCTTTAAAGTCTTTCACCTCACTCTCCTCAGCTCCAGCCAATCAACAGTCTCTGCTGTTTATGTATATTCAGAAAGTATTAGCTGCATCAGAATAGTTGTAGTTCTATGTCTAAGAACTCATTACCAACTAAACTGAATAAACTGTTAACTACACTACTCTAACACTATAGTAATCAAACTCTAATATTGGTAAGGCTACAACCGAGACATAGAAAGATTTGGTCTGAGTAACCAGGGTTATTTGAGGCATAGAAATAGTGTCAGCCTCAGATAAGTGTGTCTTTTTACTCTTTCTTGTATAATTTAGTCAATTCCTTACTATTTTACTAACAATATACTCTTTTGTTAGCAGTATAACTGTAAATTCGGTTTATAATACAAGTGATTACAGGTCAAGTTATGGAGTATCAATTTTTATCAGCGATAAATAATTACAAACTTAATCATTATTGTATTTTACAAGATAAAGAGGCCTAATTCTAATCGATACTCTTGTTCTTTCTTATTTAATATAAAAATGAATATATGATAGTCGCAAGGACAAGGTTAGCAATAATATCGAATGATTTTAAAGACAAACACCTCTACTCTGCTTTCAAAGGTTTAGAACTTCAAGAATTAAGTTTTATTTCAGAAGAAATCCTCCAGTTAATAATAATTTTCAACATATAGAAGAATAATATGAATTCTAACTATTTAACTTTTATAATCTTTCTAGCTTTTCTTACTTTTCTCATTATCTTAAAATTTCTTATTATACTTTGAAATATTCAGAATTCTAGGAATTTCAGAAATTCTTACTATCATTTTCTGCAGCATGGATTTTTGGGCAGGATGACCTTAATTGAAGTTGGAAAAAATTATCTTATTCAAATTAAGAAGAGTTTTGTTAAATAAATGATTAGTTGAATAATTACATGACAAATTCCTAATACAAAAAATCGAACAATAATAGATCAAACAGTATCAACTTTAGTATCAACATTTATTAGTAATTATGCTACCATTTATGGATATTCTTCTTTAGGTCAATATTTATAACACAATACGTTGGGATGTGTGATCAACTAATAAAATCAAAACTATATGTAGATGTATATCAAATTTACCAGGAACAGAGTTTGTACAATGTACAACATAGTGTATGTATACTTGCTGGCAAAATCTGGACAAATCCCAAACCTCAAAAAAACAAATTGCTTTTATAAAAAATTAAATCAACAAAATAATTTTGATATTTGTAAACATATTATATATAACTATAAGAATATAAATTATTTGTTTAAATAAAGATTATTAATAAAGTTTTTGAGATATTAATTT